ACTAAAAAAAACTTGAGTTGGAATCAGGGGTCCCTTCTAATGACATTATCTGATGAAGAGTGTCATTCACAAAGTACCATGGTCTGCAGACCTAGAGTTGTCTTCATTAAGCACTGATCACAGAATAGCTTTCTAAACAAGGTGTCATTTGTTACATGGCATCTAGGAAGAAAAAGGGGTTACGCTTCTGCATAGCGCCCATTTTTCTACAGCAGGGCGAATCATAGTCAGGACTCCCCTTTTCCTTCTTAGTGCTATGCTGGCTTATAATTTTTAAGCACTGGGAACACACTGTACTTATAAGTTAGGATTATTATAGGTAAACCAATTAAAACTGCATTTACTTGAATAGATCTATAGGTTTGCTTGATTTTATTTTCAAATATTATTTTCCAGTGACCCTTCTGAAAGTTTGGGATATTTGGAAGAAACTCTGAGAAGTTAAATACACATCCACAAACTCAAACCAGCTGTAGCTCCTACCTCTGTTTAAAAATGAGATAAGATCATTAAAGGAAGTCAAGGTCACAAAAGATGTCTTATGGAGGTACTAGAGCATCCTGACCACCTGAGGAAGATAAGTTGCAGCTAAAAGGATATCTCTTTCACCAACAGGAAAGGCAATCATATATAATAGTATGAAAGCTTCTACATGAATTATTTTATTTGCTTTTCAAGACACAGCCTTGTGATAAGTCCAAAGGTGGTATTATTCACAAGTTCAAGTACAGTAAACTGAGACACATAGATGGAAAACTCAGAAAGTTTGGAGCATGCCTTCTGACTTAGGAGCCACTGGTCTTTCCATTACACTCCCATGATACCTCGACCTACTGTTCCAAGGTGACAGCCATACTAACACACAATCCTAAAACATGTTGGAGTGGAATCCTTCCTAGTCTTCCTCTTGGGTAAGTTGTGAGAATTAAACCAAGTCAACATGTGAAAAATACTTAGAATAGTGTCTGCCAGTTGTGTCCCTATATTTGTGTGTACTAAAATAGATATGTACATTTGTACTATATATGTAAATATATGTCCATATGTATATATACATATATATATATATACATACACACATATGGACATATGCCCTGTGTGCAAACATGCATACATACATATTCCAATGCATGCACAGGCAGGCACACACACACACACACAACTTGAAAAGGGGTAAGGAAATAATGATTACCGTGACCAGGTTAGCTAATCAAGTAGGACTCTTTACTATACCTCTAACCTTAGAGATTAAAAAAGAGACAAAAATTTTTAAGAACTTTTGTTTCAGTTTCTTCGTGTACTACTTTTGAAGAACATTCATGTATCTGAAAAACTGTCTCGATTTAGAGTAAGGAAAGCAAAGATTGCCTTGGCAATATGATCCGTGAAGCCGAGAGGCAGAGCGCATCCCTTTGCCCTGGCCAGGCAGACTACATTGCCAGGAGGCATTCCTGCCCACCAGCAGGACATATGTTTCTGCCTCAACATGCTAGGCCTCGTGCATTTGGAAGAGGAAAAGGAGGTATCCCAGCTTCTCTCTTCGCTCCCAGTTCCGCTTCTGAGCAGGCTAAATCTTCTGCATCTCTTGGAGGTATTTTTGCATCTCTAGGGGAAGAGGACATTTCCAAGGAAGGTCAAAGTGCATCCGTTCAAAAGCCAGACCTGGTACTGCCTGTCCTCTGAGGAACTGTTCAAGTGGTGTGCGTGTGTGTGTGTGTGTGTGTGTGTGTGTGTGTGTGTGTGTGTATGGGGGCGGGGATGGCACTTGGCCCCCTCTTTGAATCGTGGGCGGGGTGTGGGGAAGTCCTCAATACCCAGTAACTGACAGTGCAGTTTCCTGCTGGGCAGGTTTGAATATCCTAGGGGTAGCCTGGATGTCTGAGACTCACCAAGGGGCAAGGCGGGGGTGCGGGTCCTCACAAAACTCCAGAAAGGATCTCAAATCTCCAGAAGTCCTTAAAAATAGAGAAGAGCATGGGGTGCAGAAGGATTCAGGGAAGAGAAACCGGGAGACATCACCGAAAGAGCCAAACTGATTTCAGAACATGGGTTTGGGCAAGGGGAGAATACAGAAAGAAAACCTAAAACCTCGAGGCGCATCCCTCGCTCGCCCCGCGTGCCCCGCGCTCCGTCTGTCAGCGGTGGCGCGCTCACCAGCCTGGCTGCGCTGGGGCCCGAGGCCGCGCCTGGAAGGGGGCGTCTTCGCCTCGCCGCGCACTCGCCCTGGGCCCTGCAGACGCGCGGACTCCTGCACCTGAGCCGCAGCACCGTCCTTCTGGGGAGCGGAGTCTGGGGCTAGTGGGTGGAGAAAGAAACGGGAAACCTCTGACCCGAGAGGCGAGCCCTCGGGAATCCATCCGGGGTGGGGAGGGGGCGCACCTCCTGGCAAGTGTACTGGATTTGACTGGTCCCGGATTTCCAAGGGGTCACACTCATTGGTCACGCTCATTAGGAGATAAGCTGCGTGGAGGGGAAACCTAGTAGAAGACACGAAGGGTGGCGCACCGGCTGGATGGGGAAGTGCGAACCCCAGCCGGACACCTGTCACCACCCCCACCCTACCCTGCACTCCTTGGCGTCCGGCGGCGGCCGATTATCTGTGCTTGCAACTAGCCCGCGCGCGGCTGCAATGGCAACAGTTGCAACTCTGGGCCTCGGGACCGTAGGAACTTTCGCCGGGCGGGTCCGGTTTCGGTCTCGGCTCTCCGGCGCCTGAGAACTGTGCCAAGATGTGCGGGCGTCCTCTGGTTCCCGCACGCCCGGGGGGCGCTATATCCAGCAAGCACATCGTGGGAAATACAGGCGTCCCCCAACACTCAGCGCCAAATGAGGAGGATTCCGGATCCGCTCCAGACAGAGATGGCCGGCGCGAGGCGCCACATCAGTCCAGGCATCCTGCTCCTGACCAGGACACAACCACTGCGGGTGCCACAGCCGGTGCGGGTTCCCATTCCTCGCTTTAGGACCTGCTGTCTTCGCACCGGGAGCTCACGCCACCTGCCTGGATTTCATAGGGCCTGCGAGCTCCAAGTCTGCGTGACCCCGTGACCTTGTTCCTTCTGCAGCTGTGTGCAGACATGTATGCCCATGGCCTCAGCCAGAGACCTGAGTTACCTCGGCAGACAGGTGGGGTTATGGAAGTTACAAACTCTCATCTGAGAAAATTCAGACACCGAGAGAGTTAAGATAGATCTGAAAGCTGGCAAATGTAGGATTAAAATGAAACATGTCTCTGTTTGCCTTGGCTGAGGGCAAAACTCCCTCTGGGCACCCTTCCCTTACTACTTCCCGCCAAAAAGGTCTTGTGGGCAGACTGATCAGTAGAGCTGCCCAGCTCTAAAGTGTCTGACATGAACACACCTACATGGATCGCGTGGGCAGTGGCTCAGCCAAGGCTGGGCTTTCTCCCTGAATGTATGATTAAGTTAATGACCGTACAAAAGAAAACACGGGGGAAGCTCAGGGAATGCCTCCATGTATCCCTCAAAAAATATGATTCCTGACTAGGAGGAAGCCGTTTTCCAAGCAGCATTTGCTTACCTTTTTAAAACCTAAGTTCATGTCTGAATCCCCAACAAGTCATAAAGCCTCCATAGTGAAAAAGATTCTGGAAGGATAGGGCACAAGGAAAGGACATTCAAGTTGTTTTTTTTTTTTTTTAAGTTAGGCCCCAAGCAGCCTGGGGTGTGTTTGTTTTGAAAGAAAAAATTTTTTTCTGCGATCCATTAGTGCCCCATGGTCATACTAGTCCTGAATAGCAGTTGGAACTGGAATTTTGGACTGCTCTTCTCACCACTCTTTGCTGGGAGTTAGTGTTTCAGATCATCCAACTGTTGCCTAGCAAAACAGAGAGCAGGCCTCAACAACGTGTAGTACAGAAGGTACTTGGATGGTCTTAAGGAAGTCAATCATCTTTTTTACCAATCTGAGTCACATTACATCTCTTTGCCCTACCCCAGACTTTACCTGCCCCCTGCCCTAATCATAACTTAACATAATAAAGCCTTTAAAATCCTTTTAGGGGAAAAGCTTTGAATGTCTACAGTGAGATCATGTGCAAGTTTCCCATTTCAGGCCTTTTCATAAGTGTCCTCCTGACAGGGGAGGGTTGGCAAGATGTGAAGGAAGGGGGTGGGGAGTAGAAAAGAACACCTCTGATAGATAAATCAGTGTCATGTCTGTAACTAACACATGCATAGAGGGACTCTCAAGATGCCCATGGATTAAGTTCATGCCATCCTAAGACCTAAAGGATCATCATCCATTTGGCTTTGCATCCAATGGTTGCTGGATATACCACACACTCTCACATACACGCTATTTAACTAAGATTTGCTGTCAGTACATGAAGATTATAGAGGGACTTTTCCTGAGAGGAAAGTCAGGGAGAGGGAGGAAAGTTATGATAATGCTCCAGAACTAGTTTTGTTTTCTTGTTTTTTCGTTTTTCCAGAAGCTGCTCAAGCCTTTAGAAGGAAAGCTGGGCCCTGCAGTACAGGCAACTGTGGTCCTTTCACCTTGGTTTCTGAAGAAACTCTCCATAGGGTCGCTTAATGGGTTGTGACAGAATGCTAACGGGTTCTAGAGGACAAGATACTCTTCCATATAGGCATCACCAATAGAACCTTAATTGGGCCTTTCATCTGGTTTCCCTGATCCAGGCCTGAAAATTATCTCTGGTCCCTTGTAAAGATGCTAATTATCCTGCTGCTGAAAAGAATGCTGACATCCTAATGACAAGTTAGCTTCATGACAGGCATCTTTGTTTAAATGCTTTGTCCTTTGATCCAGCTAAAGATTTTCCAAATAATAATCAAACCTTGTCCTTTCTCTTTTAGGCTCTTAGAGTAAATAAATGCAAGTGAGGCAGTGTTTAGCATCCCTCTGCTGCTAGCTCTTCTTTTCAGGGATTCAGTGAAAATAGATGGTATCTACTCAAAGTGTAGCTCTTGGCCACACAAAAAAACCAACATATTTTAAAACACTTTCCAAATAATTGCTCTGAAGAAAATAGTCTTTTATTGTCAAAGCATCCAACATACCCAGATAATCTATAAAGTTTAATAAATCTTTCCAGGGATAAAAGAAACACATAACTATTCAGACTCCATTTCACTGGCACAAAAGTTACACTTTATATTAAAAGGAAATACATATTTACATAATGATGACATTCTTCATTGAAGTCCATAATCATTTCATGATACATGCGCTTCCCCCTGAAAACGGAAATTGAATGGTGACCCCCTTTTTATAAGAACACAAACTGTCATCAGTAAATGCAGAAAGCATCTCACCCTCCTCCTTTACTTTATATCTAAAATAAATTTTGCCCTTACATATAATTATTACATCTAAACTGTAAGTGCTTAATAATTTAAGTAGAAACGTATGACAAATGCATCAATATGTTGCAATATATGACATTTTCAAAAATGTATCTTTGTTTTGGGGAAAGTGAAAATGCGTGCATTTAAAAGAAAACCCCTCAAACAACCCACCCATCAAAAATCCACCATCCTGTCTCGTGTGTGTGTGTGTGTGTGTGTGTGTGTGTGTGTGTGTGTGTGTAGTGTAGGTCGAAGGTAAACATTTGAATGAGATGACTGGTGGAGCACGTGTGTGTGTGTGTGTGTGTGTGTGTGTGCGTAGTGTAGGTCGAAGGTAAACATTTGAATGAAATGACTGGAAGATCACGTGTCTGTGTGTGTGTGTGTGAGAGAGAGAGAGAGAGAGAGAGAGAGAGAGAGAGAGAGAGAGAAAGTGAGTGTGAGACTGTCGCCCTGGGTGCCATGTTTCAGGTCACAAGGAGATGGTGGATGCCCTCGCGTGCTTGCTCCCACAGGTGGCTTGACTGTGCGTGTTCGCGCCGCGTGGAAAGCTGGAGTCCCGTCCAGGTCAGTTATGGGAGGTCATGTGCCTGGAGAGGTGGTGGCGCTCCCTGAAGGACTCGTTGCAAATGGGGCACTTGAGTTTCTCCTCCCGCCTTCGCTTCACCAGGGGCTCCATGGCGTACTCCTTTTTGTGATGCGACCTCATGTGGTACACCAGGTCGGAGGTCATGCGGAAGGAGGCATTGCACTTGGCGCACCAGTTCTGCGCGGGCAGGCACAGCGACGTGAAGGACGGCGGCAGCAGCGTGAGCGCCGACGGCAGCTGCAGCTGCAGGGGCCCCGCCGCCGCCGCGGCCGCCGAGCTCTTGGGCCAGAAGGCGGTGGCGTAGAGGAAGGGGCTCTGCTTCGGGAGGCCGCCGCCCGGCAGGGCCGCGCAGCCGGCGTTCAGGTCGGCGGCTCCCTGCAGCTTCACGGCCAAGGGGTCGGCGGCGGCGGGGTAGAGTCTTTGGGGCCCACCCCGTCGCCGGTGTGGCTCGGCTCCAGCGCGCTCAGCTTCTGGCCCAGCACCAGCGGCGGCAGCTGCGAGAAGGAGCGCGCAGGCTGCGAGAAGGCACTTTTGCGCTCGTCCGCCGCCGCACCCGGGCCGCCGCACGCCCCGCCCGCGCCCGCGAACCGCCGCCCCCCAGCTGCGGCACCGACGTGAAGGCGC